AAAAAAGGAGAAACCCCAAAAACCTCCCAAAACCCAAAACACCTCCCTCTCGGGGGCCCTCTTGAAGGCCTCTGGAGCCGTCTCGAGACTCTCTTGGACCGTCTAGCGGCCATCTAAGCTCTCTTGGGGCCGTCTTGGGGCCCTCTTGGGCCGTCTTGGGGCCCTCTGGCCGGTTCATTCAAAAAATACGAAGAAACAGGCCATGGGAGCCGCCCGGGAACCGCTTCACTCAAAAAAATGCAAAGGAAACGGGCCATTACCAACCCAACACTCCCGCCTCAACCCCCCTCTGCACTCCCTCTAAGGAGGGCTTCGCCCCTGCTCAACGTCACTCGCTCGTACCTCGCTCTTTCCGTCACCTGGGCCGGCACGGAAACAGAAAGAGCGCCTCAGGAACCTGCCCGAGATGGCTCATGGTCACCCTTCGCTCTTGGGAACCTTGGTGGTAAGAGCTTGTTGCGTCACCGTACGCTCTTGGGGGCCTTGCTGGCAAGCACGTGTTACGTCACCGCTCTATGTTGGGAGCCTTGCTAAGAAGAGCTTGTTACATCACCGCTCTCTCTGTTCAGAGTCCTCGTGCCCAGAGATGCTTACGTTGCCGCTCGCACTTGGGAACCTTGGTGGTAAGAGCTTGTTGTGCGGTCGCCCCGCCCCCCCCACCCCCCGCTCGTTATTGGGAAGCCTGCTGGTAAGCGCGTGCTACCGTCACCGCTTCAGTTATCGAGCCTTGCTCCTCCTTCTCCATCCTCCGTTCCCTCATCCCCCCGCCTCCTCCCTCCTCCCTCCTCCACCTTCATCCCTCCTCCCTCCCCCTCCTCCATCCTCCCTCCTCCCTCATACTCCTCCCTCCTCCCTCCTCCCTCCTCCCTCCTCCCTCATCCCTCCTCCCCTCCTCCCTCCCTCCTCCCCTCCCTCTCTACTCCCTCCATCCCTCCCCCTCCCATCCCTCCTCCCTCCTCCCTCCTCCCCTCCTCCCTCCCCTCCTCACTCTCCCTCTCCTCCTCCCTCTCCCTTACCTGCCTCCCTCCTCCCCTCCTCCCTCCTCCTTCCCTCCCTACTCTCCTCCTCCCCTTTCTCCTCCTCCCCTCCTCCCTCCTCTGCTCCTCTGCCCTCCTCCTCCTCTCTCCTCCCTCCTCCTCCGCCTCCCTCCTCCTCCCCCTCCTCCTCCTCCTCCTCCATCATCTCCTCTCCTCTTCCGCTTCCTCCTCCCCCTCCTCCTCCGCTTCCTCTATTTTCTCTCCTCCTCCTCCTCCTCATCCTCACCCTCCTCCTCCTCTCCTCCCTCCTCCTCCTCCTCCTCATCCTCCTCCTCCTCCTCCTCCTCCTCTTGGGGCTCTCTTGGGCCGTCTTGAGGCCCTCTTGGGCCGCCGTGGGGCCATCTTGGGCCGTCTGGGGGCACTCTGGACCGTTTTCGGCTCTTTGGGGGCCTCTGGGGCCGCCTTGGGACGATCTTGGGGACCTTTTGGGCAGGCTTGGGCCCGTCTGGGAGCCCTCTTACACCGTTTTGGGCCCCTTTGGGGAGCCTCTGGGGCCGTCTTGGGACGAACTGTGGAGCCTCTTGGCCCAGGATCGGTGCATACGTCCTCCTGCCTTGGCCAGGAAGGCATATGCACCGATCCTGGGTCAAGGATAGGCCTTGCCAGGATCGGTGCATGTGCATGGTTCTGTTCGCCCGAGTCTGTGCCGGCATGAGCTTCTGGGCCTTCGCCCGGCGGCCGCCTCGTGGCCGCCTCGTGGCCGCGTCACCGCGCAGAGCACATCGATGGCATCGGAAAAAAAACCTGCACCCTGCGCCGAATAGCTTACAGCATATATGAAGGGGCCCTGGGACACACAAAAAAATACACACAAATAACCAGATTCCCAATATTTTTCTATATTTTCTGGGTTTTTGTCTTCCCCCCCCACTTCCCATAGTTTCGCATATTTTCCGGGGGATCGACGATTAATTGTGTCTGTGTGTTTTTGCCCCTCCTGACTATAGTGTGCACCACACGGCGTGCACCACATAATCGGCTTGCACGCGCACAGCTTGCTCTACGTCCATAGCACCGAGAAGGTAGCCTGCACCGCATAGCTTGCACACCTGGAGTGGGAAAGCAACTCACTGATTGGGGCTGAGGAGAAGAGAGGAGAAGAGAGGAGAGGAGAGGAGAGGAGAGGAGAGGAGAGGAGAGGAGAGGAGAGGAGAGAGGAGAGGGGAAGAGAGAAGACAGAAGGACCAGACGGGTTCAAAGCATGTGAATCGCGTGTTTTTCGTTGATTATACCGCTGCTCCCTTCGGCCAGTGGAGCCACAAAAAACATTCCAGCGCTCATTTGCTGCAGTGGAGGTCCGACCTGCGTCTGCAACGCCAACGCACATGTTTTTCACGAGCGCCCCACTTCGGGGCATGATGGGGTGCAAAATCATCCAGCTGGGTTTTGACATGCGACTCCCCCACCAACACGCATGGCGTTTTTGCCGGCTCCCTACTTCGGGGCATGAGGAGTGCAAAATCCCTCATGGGATTTTGACCTGCTTCGGCAACGCCACTTCGCATGGCAGGTTCGCTGGCTCCCCACTTCGGGGCACGAGGGGTGCAACATGTGTGAATGAGGTTTAGGCATGTGTCCCCCCCCGCCAATTAGCATGACGTTTCTATCAGCCCCCCACTTCGGGGCATGAAGGGTTCAAAACCCTTCACCCCGAGGCCGACAGTCCTCTCTTGCTGCATGCACAAACACGGATGCAACGGATCCCATTCCAGGCGTGTGAGAGTAACGTGGACCCAATTCATCTTCGTTCATATCGACGGCACGGCACCGCTGAGACAGACTTGCACCGCCGACAGCTCTCCATGTCACGTATATCCTCCTCCCCCCCCTCATCCAGGGGCAACGAAAGGGCTCGCGCTTCGCCCCCAGAACCCTCTGTCCCGCACGAGGCCCGCGAGCACGGTGCGGGCCAGCTCCGCGGACTGGAGGAGCACGCTCGGCCCGCCAGCTCCAGCCGAGGAGGGGCCGGGAGAGGGAGGAGGGCGAGGGTGCAGGAGGGGGGGAGGGGGAGGAGAGTGCAGAAGGGAGAGCTGGGAGGGAAGGAGGGGGAGAGAGAGGGAGGGAGAAGGAGAGGAGGAGGAGGAGGAGGAGGAGGAGGAGGAGGAGGAGGAGGAGGAGGAGGAGGAGGATAATGAGGAGGATAATGAGGAGAGGAGAGGAGGAGGAGGAGGAGGAGGAGAGGAGGAGGAGGAGGAGGAGGAGGAGGAGGAGGAGGGGGGGGGGGGAGGAGAACGAGCAAAAGGGTGTGAAGAAGGAGGAGCACCGCGCCCCGGAGGGACGGCTCGGCCAAGCCCCGCTCCGCTGCACCGAGGGGCCGCGGCCGCCGGGGACTCTCTCGGGCGCGTTCGCGGCGGCGCGGAGCCGCCGAGCGGCGGGGCCCTCTGGGGGGCGCGCAGACATGGATTGGCGATGCATGGACTTAAGGCGCGCGGCCGCCTCCTCCTCCTCCTCCTCCTCCGCCCTCCTCCTCCTCCTCCTCCTCCTCCTCCTCCTCCACCCTCCTCCTCCTCCTCCTCCTCCTCTCTCCTCCTCCTCCTCCTTCCTCCTCGCCTCCTCCTCATCCTCCTCTCCCTCCCTCCTCCTCCCACCTCCTCCTCCACCTCTCCTCCCTCCTCCTCCTCCCTCCTCCTCCTCCTCCACCTCCTCCAATCCATGGATCGGGAGAGGTGCCCTTCCCAACATGCGGCCAGTGGCCGCCTCGCTCGGCGGCGGAGAGCCGCGATCTCCAAGGGAAGCGGGGCCCGTCGCTGCGCCGTGCCTCCCGAAGCCAGTTCTGCGATCGCCCGACCCTCCCCCTCCTCCAAAATCGGCCTCATGGCCTCGCCAGGGAGGAGTTCTGGGCGGCATTTGGGAGCAGATCCAGCCGCGGCGGCTAGGAGCCTCCCTCTGGAGCCTGAAGGCGCAAAGCGAACCAACAGTGGCTCAAAATACTATCGACTCCTCGATCCTCGACTCCTCCTCGTCCCCCGTCCTCCCCCTCCCCCAACCCCTCCTGAGACGAAGCCAAGACGAGGATCAATTCGAGCGAGGATACATCGAGAATCTCTGAGAGCTGGAAGCTCTGGAGGATGTCTCGGGCGCCGCTGCCTTTTCAAAGTGCTCCGTAACGCTCTGGAACGGACTCATCCTCGTCCTAGCCTTAGGTCGGGCATGTCCTCCTAGAGGCGGGATTTGGACGAGAAACAAAAAATGTCAAAACAAATGCAAACATTTTGACATTTTTCGTTACTCCCCCTGCAAAAGGACACGCCCGACTTAATGCTCGCCCCGCCCGGAATCCCGTCCCCCCCGCCCCTCCTCCCGCGGGGCCTCCCCCGAGGACATGCGGGCCCCGCACACGGCGCCGTTGTTGGCCTCGCACTTGATCACCATGCGGTCGCCCTCGGTGTAGCAGCGCTCCCCTCCGTAGGCCTCGGGGGCGACTGGCAGGGCGGGCCAGGATCGGTCCGCATCGAATCGGGAAATTAGGGGAACGAACAACGACATAAGCATAACAACTCGGAGGTCCGCGCGGATTTCTCGGATCGGCGCTGGGGACCTCTGGCGGCGCCTCCAGCGCCGCCCCTGGCGCGCTCCGCGCGCCAGAGAGGGGGGTCGAGCGCGGATCCAAGAAATCCGCGCGGACCTCCGAATTGCTATGCTTATGTCATTTCTCGTTCCCCTGGAAATCGGCTCGCATCGGAGCGTGCGCCGCATCTGGGCGGCGAGGGCGGATCCAGATCCTGCGCATGGGGAACAGACGTCCTGGGACCCCAGGGGGCGGTGGACGTGGTCACATTCGGGCCCTTCGGCGGCAACTCATGGGAGCATCCCATGCCATCGTACTGGCTCTTGCGCATCGACGCTTAAGTCGGGCCTGTCCCCCTACAGGGGGATTGTCGACGAAAAAAATACCCAAAAAATAAAAAATACTCCAAAAATATTAAAATAATCTGGGGACTATTTTTCTGGTAGTTGTTTGCTTTTTGGGGGCATTTTCAGGGTATGTTACATTTTTCGTCGAAAATCTCCGACGCCTTTGTCTAGGGGAACAAAAAGTGGCATAAGCATAAAAACTCGGAGGTCCGCGCGAACTTCTCGGATCGGCGCTGGACCCCTCTCCCCTCTCCCTGGCGCGCGGAGCGCGCCAGGGGCGGCGCCGGAGGCACCGCCGGGGGGCCCCAGCGCCGATCCGAGAAATCCGCGCGGACCTCCGAGTTTTTATGTTTATGTCACTTGTTGTTCCCCTATTGTCTGGCCTCACACTGAATCTCGCACAGGAAAGCGGATCCTGGTGTACACGGGGTCCTGGTGCATACATTCTTCGTCGTTTCCCCAGGAAGACGGGGAAAAAAGTATACACCCCCCCCCCCCCCCCCCGACGTCGTCCCCGACCCTCAAAAAAGTCCTGCGATTGAGAAACCGCCCGCCACTGGTAATGTATATGCTCCAGTTTCCGACGAAGGGCACCCTGGGGCCCGAACATATCCAGATCCGCCACCTGCCGGTGGTCATGAAAAGATCCCCGCCTCGGAGGACCGGGCTACACCGGCACGGTGCCGGAATCGGATCGGATCGGCCGCGCCAGGATGTACAGCAGCGGCACGCAAGCGCCGTGCCACATCGGCTCCTCGAAAGGTCTCGCTGTCGGATGGGATCGGGCTGGCTGGAATCGGTGCCAAATCGGATCGATCGGATCGGAATCGAGCGTGCAGGGTGGGCGGGGAAAGAGGAGGGAAGGAATACGGAGGAGAGAGGGAGGGAGGGAGGGAGGCGAACTCATTTCTAGTCCCTCCATTTGAGCCACCAGGAATGCCGAGAAATCGCACCGTTTCAAGAAGACCGGTGCTGGGCCACAGGGTCGCGAGGTGCAATCGGCTCCCCCTCCGATTCGCTGGCTCTCGGCGTGGCAAGCTCCCAGCGTATGACCGCCGCCGTAACGTGGGCACTGAGCGAAGCGTCTTCAGCCAGCATCCAATCTAGAAGTCGGATCGAATCGGAGCGAGCATCGGATCGGGTTGCAGTGGCGCGAAATTGGAGACGGCCGGGGGGTCTGAGCTGGTTGGGACCGCAGACAACCGGTCAAGAGGGGGGATGGGACCAGATCCGCTCAAAATCGGTCCCTGGACCCCTCTGGGGATCCATCTGATGCCCTGGATCCGATTCTGAAGCTCCCGAGCTCCGAAAACGGCTCCCGCTAAAAACCTTCTGGAACCCAGAACCTCGAACCTGCCTGCTCGTCCTGCTCGCCAGAACCAAAGCGGGGCCGTCTTAGACCCACAGACGGCTCGAAAGTATCGGATCGGATCGGGTCGATCGGATCGAAACATGCCCTGCTTCGAAGGATATCATCGATCCTCGATCATTGACCCTCGGTCCTCGAAACTTGACCCTCGATCCTCGAGTCCTGACCCTCGGTCCTCGATCCCTGATCCTCGATCCTCGAGCCATGATTGTCGATCCTCGATCCTCGATCCTCTGCTCTCTGCCCTCGATCCTCGACCCTTGATGTCCGCCCTCGATCCTCGATCGTCGACATCGGTGCTGGCCCGCCTGGAAAAGACGCGCTCGGGCGAAGGCGCGCGCGCACGCGCGCCCGCTGGCCTCGAACCACTGCTCGGACCCGCAGTTGGCGGAGGCCTGTCTTCCGCGGGCGGAGGGCGAGGAGTGAGGACGAGCGAGCGAGGAGCGGGGAGGAGAAGGAGGAGGGAGAGGAGGGGATGAGGAGGAGGAAGCAGAGGAGGAGGAGGAGGAGGAGGAGGAGGAGGAGGAGGAGTGAAAAGGAGGAGTGAGGAATGACGAAGAGTGCACGAGTGCGGGCCGGGGAGGCGTCCGGCGCTCCCGCTGCGCGCCCCGCGAGGCGCGTTTCGCGCCTCCTCCGCAGACGGAGGGGCCGAGGCCCCTCCCCACCAGGAGGGCAGGAGAGCGGCCGCGGGCACGAGTGGCCCGAGGCAGGCGTTCCAGGGGGCCCTCGGACACACGCAGAAGTGCACACAAAGGACAGAATTCCCGATGTTTTCCCACATTTCCCTGGGTGCTTGTCTTCCCCCCCGCTTCCCATACCCAAACCCCCGACGTCGTGGTTTTTTCATGACGTCGACCCCCAGCGGTTTGGACCCATTCCCCGAGACCGGTTTTTCATCCTGAGTCGTTTTTTGACAGCCCCGAGGCCCGGTAGGGGCCCCCGGAGGCCGAAAATAGCAAAAAAACCTCCCGTCGCGATTTTTTCATGACTCGACGGGGTCTGGGCATAGTTCCCCACATCCTCGAGGGCATCGACGATCAGTTGTGTCTGTGTGCTTTTTCCCGCAGGAAGACCCCGAGGCCCAGTGAGAGGCAGCGGCAAAAAGCCGCCGGGTTCGGCACCGGGAGCGGGGCCACAACACCGCAGCCGTCCAGGAGGAAGTGAGGAGGAGGAGGAGGAGGAGGAGGAGGAGGAGGAGGGGGAGGAGGAGGAGGAGGAGGAGGAGGAGGAGGAGGAGGAGGAGGGAGGAGGAGGAGAGGAGGAGGAGGAGGACGGAGGAGGAGGAGGAGGACTGAGGAAGTGACCTCTGCTGGGCGGCGGCCGTGGGGGCGCCGGGTCCAGGCGTGCAGGCCCCGGTGGCCCGGAGAGAGGGCCCTCCGTGGGCCCGCAGGCGGGCTCTCGCTCCGGCGAGAGGCCGCTCCTCCTCCCTCCCTCCTCCCCCTCCCTCCTACCTCCCCCTCCACCTCCTCCTCCTCCCCACCTCCTCCTCTCCTCCTCCTCCTCCTCCCTCCCTCCTCCTCCCTCCCTCCTCCCTCCCTTCCCCCTCCCTCCTCCCTCCCCCTCCTCCCTCTCCCTCCTCCCTGCTCCCTCCTCTCCCCTCCTCCCTCCTCCCTCCTCCTCCTCCTCCTCTCCTCCTCCCTCCTCCTCCTCCTCCTCCTCCTCCTCCTCCTCCTCCTCCCTCTCCTCCTCCTCTCTCCTCCTCCTCCCCCTCCCTCCTCCTCCTCCTCCTCCTTCCTCCTCCTCCTCCCTCCTCCCTCCTCCCTCCTCCTCCTCCTCCTCCTCCTCCCTCCCTCCTCCTCCTCCCTCCTCCTCCTCCTCCCTCCTCCTCCTCCTTCCTCTCCTCCTCCTCCTCCTCCTCTCCTCCTCCTCTCCTCCTCCTCCTCCTCCTCCTCCTCCTCGTGGCCGGCTGAACCGTCCATGTCCGTCCTCCGCCCGGGGCGCCGCTCTCCCAGGGAGAGGTGGGCCTGTTGTCCATCACCGCCACCAGAAGTGGGAGGGGCAAGGGAGGAGGAGGACGAGGTGGAGGAGGAGGGAGAGGAGGAGGAGGAGGAGGAGGAGGAGGAGGAGGAGGAGGAGGACCCCCTCTCCCTCTCACTTCTGGTGGTGGTGGTGGTGGTGGTCGAAGACAGGCCCATCGAGAGAGAGGCAAACAAACGCGCATGGACAGAACCTTCGGAGCTCCGCCCAGACTTCCTGGATCGGCGCTGGAGCCTCCTGGCGGCGCCGCGGGCGGCGCGCCTGGCGCACTCCGCGCGCCAAGCAAGAGGGAGGTCCCGGCGCAGATCCAAGAAATCCGTTCGGACCGTCAACAGTTTATGCTCATGCAGTGGGCCCCAGGGGGCGGTGGATATGGACACATTTGGGCCCGAGAGGGCCCGAACATATCCAGATCCACTGCCTGCAAAAGTCCCCGAAGATCGATCCCCCAAGCCTTATGGATAAATCCCCGCCTCGGAGGAAGGGGAGGTGGAGGACGACGAGGAACAGCAGCAGCAGCAGCAGCAGCAGCAGCAGCAGCAGCAGAAGCACCTCCTCGCGTCGTGAAACAAACGCGATGGAAAGATTCGGCAAATGTTCGGCTATCGGGAGCCCTCAATGGGCCTCAGGACCGTCAACAAATGCCTTGGGGTGAAAAGTTGGTCCTGGGAAGGGGCCAGGAACTTCGAGGCCCCACGTTGCGAAAGCACTACGACGTCGGAGTTCTGGGATATCTGGGAGTCACCAAACACATACCCAGGGAGGTGTCGAACCCACGTAAGACGTGTGGCAGCACGAATGAACGTTTGAAAAGACAGGCCGTTCGTGTTAAAGCTGCAGCAGGAGTATGTGCACCAGACGCCCACTCGGACCCGTCTTAGGCGACATCAAAAAAGGAAATGGAGGGGGAATGCACTAGGACCGATAATAGATAAGGGGATGACAGCACGGGCATGGACGAGCACCAGCACAGGGAGGAGGCAGAGTACGGGCCGGAGGGCGACTAGGAACGACGTGCGATCGATGACAGCGAAAGGCTTTTTGATAGATCGCCGATGCGGCAGCGAGGGATCCCAGGTCGAGGCTTGCAACTGGCCAACATCCTGGCTTCAGCCCCCTGCACCACACCCCGCTGGACCCCTCACGAGCTGCACGAGATCGGCGACGGCTGCGCAACCGACAGCACCGAGGGGTGCGAGGTCCCGATTGTGGGAAGGCGAAATGCCACCCCCACCCCCAGTCCCGACCCCATCCCGGAACCCGCGACCCAGGGGGTCGGGACTGGGGGTGGGGGTGGCTTTTTCGGGGCGCAATAATGCAGAAAACTCACCCTCACCCCCAGTCCCGACCCCTTGAATCGCCGGCTCGGGGACGGGAGTCGGGACTGGGGGAAGGGGTGGCCTTTCGCCTTCCGAGATTGGGCCTGCGCAGAGAGCCGCACGCCGCTCGAAGCCTCGCACGAACGCTCACGAGAAGTGGCGGCGGTCGCGCAGTTATTGGCACACCCGGGGAGGCGAGGCCCCGTGCCATGCGGTGGGGAGGAGAGAGCGCGCGCCCGTCGCCCCATCGGAAGCTGCCGCGCCCCTCCCCCCCTTGCGCGCTTCAGAGCTGCCCCTCCCCCTCCCCCCCGTTCCCAGGGAGGGGGGCTCATAGCTACCCCCCCTCGGCACCCCTCTGCTGGGAGCCTCCCCCCCTCTCCCCCCCTCCTTCCTTGTTTTTTCCTGCCCCTCGGAAGGTGCCCCCTGCTCTCCCCCCTTTTTCGCGTTCCCGACGCGACCCCCCTCCCGCCCCTTTCCAAAGGAGGAGGCTCGGCTACCCCCCCCCACTTTGAACCCCCCTGCTGGAATCCCCCCCTCCGCCCCCGGTTGGCTAAAGGGGGCGGGAGCTTGGAAGCCCTCCCCCCTTGGGGCTAAATGAAAAATCGCCGAAGACCAAGAGGGCGCCGAAGACCAACAGAGCCCCGAGAACTAAAAGGCCACCGAAAACCGAACAGGGCGCGAAAACCAGAGACGCGCCGAAAACAGAAGGAACGCTGGAAACAAAAAGGGAGCCGAAGCTTCACAACACAGCCCTGGTTCATCATAGCGACCAGAACGGGCTCGAGACACGAGCTGGAGTTTCCTCGGGTCCCTTCGTTGGATCCCCTGGAGCCTCAGGGCTCCACCCCGGGGATCCTTCGAAGGATCCCGGGCCCAAAAGTGCCACGTCTCGGCCATCGTTGATGTCCTAGGGGCCCCTAAATCTACAACCACTCTCAAGCCGTGAGCGATGGCCGTGCGCAAACGCTCCTTGGCGCGGCGCCCCAAGTGGTCGCCTTGCTGGAGGGCCCTATGCTGGCCGCGCGGCCTGGCGGGCTCCGCGCCCAAAGGCGACGGTTGCCGTCGGGCTTCTTCACCTGAGGCAGAGGCCGCCATCGCCCTGTTGCGGGGCTGGCCGACGGGCCGCGGCGGTGCCAAGCCCCGGGAGGAGGAGGAGGAGGAGGAGGAGGAGGAAGACGAGGGGCAAGAGGAAAAACACACCGAACAGACGCCGACCAGAAGGAGGGAGGGAAGCAGCAGAGGCAGCGCAGAGCAAGCAGGGGGCGGACGGAGGTGGTCGTCGTCGTGGCCAAGGCCAGGGGGGGTCGTCGGGGCAGGGCGTCGGGGGCGGCGAAGACCAAAAGGGGCGTCGTCGGGGCAAGACCGAAGGGGCGTCGAAAACCAAAAGGGCGCCGAACACCAAAGGGGCGCCGAAAACAACAGAAGGTGCGAAGACGGACAAGGCGCCCCCCAAAAAAACGCCGAAAACTAAAGAGGCGCCGAAAACTGAAGATGCGTCGATAACCACAGGGGCGCCGAAAACAAACAAGAAGCGCAGAAATACAAAGAGGCGTCCAAAACCAAAGGGGCGCGGAAAACCAATAAAGGCGCCGACAACCGAACGGGAACCGAAGACCAAAGAAGCGACCAAAACCGCAGGGGCACCGACAAGCAAAGGAGCGCCGAAAACCACAGAGGCGCCGAAAACCAAAAAGGAGCCGAACTTGAACGGGGGGCCGAAAACAACAGAAGCTGCGAAGACGGAAAAGGTACCGAAAACAAAGAAGAGCGCCGAAAACAAAAGGGGCGCTGAAAACCGCAGGGGCGCCGATAACCAAAGGGGCGCCGAAAACCAAAGAGGCACCGAACACCAAAGAGGCGCCGAAAACGAAAGGGGCGCCGAAAACAACAGAATATGCGAAGACGGACAGGGCGCCGAAAACAAAACAGAAGGGGCGCCGAAAACCGCAGGGGCGCCGAAAACCAAAAGGCGCCGAAAACCAGAAGGCTCCGAAAACCAGAGCAGCGCCGAAAACGAAAAGGGCGCCGAGAAACGAAAGAGGCACCGATCACCAAAAGGGCGTCGAAAACCAAAGGGCGCCAAAAACCGAAGGCGCGCC